TTAAGTACTCAGTAATTAGTAATACAGTACACTACTAACTGAAAGTTTAGTTTGTTAGTTCTCATGTTACTTAGGCTGCGTTTACACAGCTGGCAAAAGTGGCCCAAATCTGATTTTCTCACCAAATCCAATTTTTTTGTTTGGCTATTCACATTATCTTTTAAATGTGTTCTGTATGTGACATCAGTCTGAACAGATCAGCTCCTAAACTGACCCACATGCACAAAAGAACAATGTGCCATGTTGCTTCACATGGCGCACTCATCCAGAGGTAAACAATCATGGCTGCCAATGAACGCCTGTTGCTCCCAGAGCTTTCAGTTTCATCTTCGCCAGCATCTCAGGAGCGATCATGAAGTTCCAATGGTTGACAGCTGCGCTCATCACCCAGAATGTGTTCGAGCTTGCCGTAAAAAGAACACGGTCACTTCTTTGGTTCGCATCCTCGGACTCTTACTGCTGCGTTCAGCCATTTCGTTCGAAATCTCTTTGAACACGGAGTGGTTGCAATAAGAGCCTTCTAATTTTTTGGTAGAGAAACATCAGCCTAAATGTTTATGAGATCTCAGCAGCGCAAAATTATGACGAATGATCTGGCTGTTCAGACCGAGTCACACTGCCACAGATCGAATACATATCGAAGTTCAATACCACATATGAAAGCTTCTCAAATCGGAATTAAAAATGTCAGATTCAGTGTGTTTTTTGCTGTTCACACTGCAACACAGATGACACATCTGTGTCACATATGAAGAAAAAGATCAGATTTGGGCCACTTTTACCAGCTGTGTGAACAAAGCCTTATTTACATGAGTAAACACACTTTCAGTTCATTATCAGTTCAATAAGCAGCAGTTAGTACACATTTAATGAGTAATTAAGCTGTGAACTAAGAACAAACTAAACAATCAGTTAATAGTGTACTGAATTATAATTACTGAGTACTTAAACAGTAACTAATGCTTAATGAGCATGTGATTAATATATAAATAATGGGTATTTAATTACTTATTAGCATATAACTATCAATTAATTTGTGACCCTTAATGTAAATTGTTACCCATAAAACTGTTACAAAGATGTTGCTTAAAGTCGGAGACACTGTTAGATTAGTTTTGCAATTAGGTTTGGCGTAAAACGTATATTTTAAAATACAGTAAGAGTGAAGAGGTATATACAGGGCATGTGATTAAGAATATGTACATTTAGGAATAAGTATAATTCAAATATATCACTGTTTTACCATTATCAATATTGCATATAAAAACTCAAGGTTCACTTGTGGTTTTGGAGAGCAAAAAAAAAAGTCTATATTTGTGCTGTAAAGAAATTTTGAGTCAGTAAGTTTCTCCACAGTGCACCATTTTCACATCAAAACACTGTGAATGACTCAAACTCAGTTTTGGCTCATTTAGATGTCTCTTAAATCTGAGGCTCAGAAGGGCCCATCTATGAAAAGACTGTAGGTGCAGCCTGACTGTGAGCCCATGCTGATATAACTGTTCACTGGTTTCCACGCTTTTCTCCACCTCCTGCTGTTTATGCACGTGTCTGTGTGGGTGTGTAAATATTCATGTGCAAACTCATGGGAATCCCTGTCTTTTCTTTTCCTTTGTTGTTTGAATCTGATAGCTTCATATCCATTGAGCCCTCTTTCTTTTCACCAATTTATGCTTCATAGATTTTGACAGAATATCCTGATTGGGAATTTTAATGAGCAGACAAAATCAGCTTTGTATGAAAAGTTGCAAACAGCTAATAGATTACTCCAGCATGTTTAACCTGCGGCATCTGTATCACACTATTGATAATGGACAATAGTTTTAGTGTGTTTCTGTGCAGTTAGAAAAGTACAGAAAACTGACTGATGTGAAACACTTATAATGGAAGCCATTGTGCAGTTTCTGGATTCTGTCAAGAAACATTTGGAAAAGTGTCTAAATAAAGAGAATTTGAAAGTAAAAGAGTTACACAGTTCACAGTACAGGTCTTGAGAAGAGACAGACTAAAAGAATGCCTTACTAAAGCTGTTCCTGTGACATTTTAACCATATTTCAAACACTGGAGAAACAAACGGGAGCCTGTGAAAACACTTCTCACATCACTATGCTGGTAACAACAGCAAACAGTCTTCCCTTTGGAAAATTAGTTTAATCTCTTTTCACCAAAGAGGTCATGAAAGTGTTCGTCTTCCACTTCTTTTTTGACAGAATTCAACATCTGCCCTAGGATCTTCTACAAACCCAATTCCAAAAAACGTTGGGACAGTAGATTAAATGCAAATAAAAACAGAAAGCAGTGGTTTATAAATCTGCTTTATCTGTATTTGAACAAAAAGAGTAAAGTGCCAACAGCATGTTCCAAAAAAGTTAAGATTTAAGACATAATATTATTATTGAAATATTCAAAACACATCTTAAACAGGTGATGCAATCATGCTTGGGTATAAAAGGAGCCTCAAGGAAAGGCCTAGTCCTGTATGAACAAAGATGCCTTAAAAAATGACATGTTTCTGTGATAGATGTCACCATGTGGGCTCAGGAATACTTTGACAAACCATTTTTATCAAACACTATCCATCACTGCATCCACAAATGCAGGTTAAGACTGTACTATGCACAGAGGAAGTCATATATCAACAGCATCCAGAAACACCACCCACTTCTCTGGGCTCGAGCTCATCTGAAATGAGCTGATGCATAGAGGAAACGTGTACTGTGGTCTGACGAGTCAACCTTTCAGATTTTTATAGAAATAATGCATGTTGTGTTCTCTCGACCAAAGAAGAAAAGGACCATTCAGATTGTTAGTGACGTGAGTTCAAAAGCTAGGGTCTGTCATGGTATGGGGGGGGTGTTATTGGGTAATCTGCACATCTAATCTGCACATATAACTCACTGCACACATTTTGGAGAAACATATGCTGCTTCAGGGAAGTCAATGCCTATTTCAACATGACAACACCAAGCCACATTCTGCACATGTTACAACAGCATGGCTGCATAATGAGAGAGTGCTGGTGCTAGACTGGCCTGCTTGCAGTCCAGACCTGTCACCCATTGAAAACCTGTGTTTTTTAAGCTTAAAATACATCGACAAAGGCCCTGTATGGTTGCACAGCTGAAGACTTGTATAACAGAAAAATTGCAAAAAACTGGTTCCAAACTGGATCAACTGGTATCTTAAATCCCCAAATGTTTATTTGAAACATATTATATTAAATACAATGTTTTTGTACAGTTTTCAATGCAATACAGGTCAAACTGAATGTACTGCTTTCTGTTTTAATTAGCATTTCACACACTTCCCCAACTTTTCTGAAATTGGGGTATTATTACAAGACTTTTTTATTATATAAGTTTTTTTTGAGTACAGTATTGTTGAAATCAACAGAATAGACCCATCAAGGTCTTTTTAAGACACTAGATAAGGCCTAATGATTTCTGGGAACTAAAATTTACTCATAAGAATCATCAAGCCTGTTGTATTTAAATTCTGCAAATATTGTAGTAAAATTCTCGTTTCATTATTAAAAGTTGGCTGGAAACAAAAGGATTAAACACCCAACAGAAACTGTCCAGTTTTTCCCATCGGCATTTACAGTCATGTGCAAAAGTTTGAACACCCCAGTCAAATTATATGGTTTGTTAATTGTTTAAGTGAAAATGAGTTAAAATTATCTACAAGGAAAAATATTAAATATGGCATTTTTTAACAAAGTTTAGTGCACCGTTATTTGCTGAGTTTAACATTTTGAAAAAAAAATTTAAATAAAATATAAAATACCATAACCGTTGCACAGGCCGCATTTTATGTTTTTTTTATGTTAATTTCAGCAAATTAACTGTGCATTGTTCACTTATATTCACTTAGAAAATCCACAACACTTGTAATTTGATCATGGATGCCCAAACTTTTGTGTACAACTGTAAGTAGACACTACGCTGGCTGACAAAACCCAATGTGCAGTACAATTGAAAACAGTTTGCAAACTCAAACAAAAATTCAGAAAACTTTCATCAACAAAACTACACCTGAACTACATTTCACAAATGCACTGCAAACTCAGAAAACACATGCAGCACAGAACAGAAATGTTTCTGGCAGACTCTCAAAATGGAATATGGAATGGAATCTAATTTCTGTGATGGAAAATCACAGACTTAAGCTGATACCACAGAGACTCACATTTCCGTAAGTTCATGGTTAACTTGGCTGGCTAGTTAGCTCTGACATACCATAGCTGTGCTACAGTAGTTATCAATCATATCTGGTATAACTAGTTGAAATTTTACAGTTACACTCTACAGCTAATTTCTATTCACAAAAAAACTTTACTTCCTTTTACTGGTGAATGTTTATGCTGCATAGAATTGAAGAGTTTGAACAGCTCCAACCTCTTTTAGTGTCCTCTGAAAACATTTCTGTTGTGTTGATTGACTCTGCAGCATTTCTGAAGTTGCATGTCTTTTCTGTATTTGTATCATGTTTGTCAAATGTAGCACTGGTGAATTCATGTTGATGAAAGTGTTTTCTGAGTTTGCAGAGTGTCTACAAATCTGCAGCACAGATTATTAGTTTTGGTTATTAGTTTTTATTAGTTATTAGTAGAGCATTTGTAAAACGCAGTGCATATGTTTTCATTCTGAAGAAAGCACTGAATGCATTTGCAGCTCATTTTTTATTTGCAGTTTGTTGGGTCTTCTCAGCCACAGTCAGGCAAGCCTCCCCATTAGGAGTCTGTTAGGAGCTTCAAATAACATATAGAATGTCTTTAACAAACTTCAAATGTTTGTGTTTATTGTTGAATGACCAAAAACTTTTTATTTGCTTTTTTTGGACCGAATTTTCATATTTATGGCTGGAACTGAAGACATAGCACTAATAGTCACAGATCGGCACTAGAATCGGTCATACACTACAGACGTGTCAGACAGGGGTTTGTTTGAACAATGCTAGAGCGCTCCTTTAACGTGCAACTAGCTATTAAAATGGCTTACCCTCCAGGATGACCTCCTTTCCGGTCTTCTTTAGGGCCTGTACAGCTTCATCGTGTGTAGCTTCTCGCAGGTCACATCCATTGACTGATAAAATGGCGTCACCCACATAAAGAGCCTCGGTCTGATCGGCTGCTAGTCCTTTGAAAATCTTCGAGATTAGGATGGGCATCTTATTCTCTTTACCACCTGCAAAGTGTCAAACACAGTTAGTCTTGCCATATTGTCGTTCTCTAACATGACGCACAGAACATCACTGCAAACTAGAATTTATAGGAATTTTAAAGGAAGGAAGATTTTAAAACGTGTTTCGAAAAATAAATAGAACAGCTGCAAAGATCTATAGAACATAAAATCATATAAATTAAATAAATACATTTTAAAAATGTAAAACTATAAACAAAACTGGAAATATTTATGCTCTTAACTACATGTTACACATTTCATATATCTGCATCAATCTAAAGAACCATTTCACCATGCAAAGGACCATTTAATTATACAAAGGCTTCTTTGAGTGTTCATGGTTCTACACAAAACTATTTTCTTTACTCAGGAACACTTGAAGAACTGTATTTTTTAAGAGTATATATATCTCAATATTGATTTTTTGGCCTCAAACATGGTTTGATAGGCAGATTAGACATTTCTGCATTGTGTTCTGTATTGCATACATGTCATGGCTCAAGTTTGGGCCAGTGTCAGTGCTGAGATTGCTTAAGCCATCCTTTTTCTCAGTTCCTTAATTTCAATTCTTATTTCTTACAAGAGCTGCCTTTTTCCCACAACTGTTCACAGTTTCAAGCTGACCACATCAGGTAGGTTTCCTTGCAATATTATATTATACTGCATATTAAATGTCGCTTCATTTATGCCTGATGTTAAATAATGCTGTTTTGTTAAGACCATGACCTTCATGTTTCATTATATAATTAAGCCATTCCATGTCCAATGACTAGGTTTAGTATAATAAGAGAAATGCCTCAGAATTAGTGCTGATTGTTCTAAACTGATGAAAAATGTTATTATTCATTTGAATATTTTTATGTAAATCACATGTTTTTTCATTAATGTTAAAACTGGTGAGCAAAAGACAAATTTAGAGAGAAAAGCTCAATTTTTAGTCATATGAAAAATGTTGTTCAAACCATATATGTAATTTGTGCTCAGGCAGCCTCTAATATAAGGAAAACGCAAAATTCCACATATATGCTGTACATTAAGTCAACTAAGTAAGACAATACTCTGCACAGTTAAATAATCATCAGAACCTGCTGTTGAGAAATAAATCTTGCTTTACAAATAAGCATCATGTTTATATATTTTAATATTCTTGGCGGAAAAAAACAGCAATCTAACAAACACATGCCGAAAACCCTTAAACTTTTGACATTTCATGCTAACTAAACTTTAACATATTCATCTTTTTCGTATAGATCAACTTCATTAATCTGATATGGAGAGAAAGATCATTATCTAATGGACAGTTCTGAACCTCATTCTGATAGTCGGGCGTCACTGTAAAGAAGTGAATTTGCTTCACGTCAGTGAGTTAGAATCCTGCAAAATGGCCACTTGCAAAAGGAGATCAGTAGAACCCAGCATCACGCTCTGCTACCTCTTATATTCCATCCTCATTATTGTACCAACCTCTGAATTCTCACTGAGGAACTGTATGATTCCAGGACCCTTCAATTACACAGACAAACTGACTGTGCTCTGCTACAAAATGGGTTTACCAGCTGTTCCCTCTAAGATACCCAGTAATGTAGAGACTTTAGTCATATCTTTCAATTACATCTCAGAAATCAGAAAGGAGGATCTCAGCAGGCTGACATTTCTGACACATCTAAATGCTTCCAACAACAATATCTCACACATACAAGAAGGTGCCTTTAGAAACTCGAGAGACCTGGAGGAGCTGAATCTTTCTCAGAACCGACTGAGAAATGTATCAGGAAGTTGGCTGCAGGATCTGCATGAACTCTCTATAATACGGCTTGATGGAAATTTGATTGAACACATTGAACCAGATGTTTTTGCGAATCTTTTGAGTTTAAAAGTTTTGAATCTCACTGACAACAAGCTTCAGCAGATTGAGAGAATCCAGCCAGCATTCAGGTCGAATACTCTACAAGAGCTGTATATTGGAATAAACAACCTCAATGTCTTCCAGTCCAGCGATGTGTCAGTGACGTCCGTTTCACTGAAAATGCTGGATCTATCGCAGAATCCCTTGACAAAGTTTCAAATTACAGAAAACATTTTTCCTGCCCTGGAGTACTTAGACCTGTCCTACTGCAGCCGTAATGGAAATCTAGACTGGATTGTTCCGAACGTAACAATGCTGAAGACAGTAACAACCCTCAAACTGGATGGAGTGCGTATTTCGGAAAAAAAAACGGCAGCCATTCTTGGAACTTTCAATACAAGTCTTTACAGACTAAGGATGGATGACATTAAGCCAATTAAGCCTGATCGTCTTTTAAGTGATGCCTGCTCCAGTGTTCTGAGAGTCCTACACTTTGGGGAGAACAACATCGCTTCCCTCACCGAACACATGATTACACCCTGCTATCTCCTGCAACAGCTAGACCTCACAAGCAATAACATTTACCACATTTCAGAAAAGGCTTTCATGAATTTCACCCAGTTAATGTCTCTGCACCTACAGCACAACAAGCTGACCAAACTAAATGGTGCTTTTAAAGGACTTCCCAGGCTTGAGCTTCTAGACTTGAGTGCAAACAAAATCGTCAAATTAAACTGCTCAGACTTTGAAAATCTGATCAATTTAAGAAAGCTGTACTTGTATAATAACAAATTAGCTTCAGTCAGCGCGTGCTTGTTCAAAAACCTCCAAAACCTTCAAAAGCTGAAGTTAGGAACAAACAAACTGCTGACCGTCTCCACGTCCTTTTCGGGGGTATTACCAAAGTTGAAGTACTTGCAGCTCAGATACAACAAAATAAGTTCACTCCAAAAAAGAACGTTTGGTCATTTACATTCTCTTCAAACGTTAGATCTGGTTGATAATCAGATTTCTGAGATTGATGAGTATGCGTTTGAGGGATTGAGAAAGTTAACTCGGCTTTCTCTTGCATCTAACAAAATTACAGCAACCACAATAAAGAACAAAAATGTGTTTTCAGGACTGTTTAAGCTACAGCAACTTGATCTAAATAGCAATTACATAACATTTAAAAGTGATCATTTGAGATTCCCCCCGTTCGTTCATTTGAAATCCCTTCACACGTTGGCGATTAACAGCCAGCGCCACCACGGCCTCGACCTCTTACCTTGGAATCTGCTTGAAGGCTTGACATCCTTAAAGATCTTCTATGCTGGAAACCTCAACATTAGGTATCTGCATAATGACACATTCAACAACACCCCTAACCTTTGGCACCTGGATCTCACAAAAAATATACTGTCAGACAACAGTGCTCTGTCCTCGCAAGCTTTTCACCCAATCCCTGAGCTAACGAGGCTTATCCTGTCCAGAAGTGGGCTGACGTCTTTGGACTTCCTGATCAAAGCAAACCTATCAAAACTCTCTGTCCTGCGAGCTAGTGGGAATCAGCTTGCATCGATCAACAAAACTTTAATACAATCCATTCGCGGGCTAAAATTCTTAGACTTGCAGAACAACACTTTCCCCTGTGACTGTAGGAGTGCTTGGTTCATTGACTGGTCACTTCTTAATAACCAAACCCAGGTCCTTTACCTGAATAAGTATATCTGCAACTATCCATCCACAATGAGCAAGAACAGTTTAGAAGACTTTGACACCGAATCCTGCATTGTGGATTATAGCTTCATTTGCTTCCTCTGCAGTTCTTTGATAGTTGCTTTTACTCTCGTGGTCTCGTTTGCCTACAGCTTCCTGAGGTTGCATCTGGTCTACACGTACTACTTATTTTTAGCTCTCCTCCATGACAGGAAAAGGAAGCAGCAGCATGGTTTTCAGTACGATGCTTTCATTTCCTACAACACTCAGGATGAGCCCTGGGTAATGGAGGAACTACTGCCAAACCTAGAGGCCAACCAGGGCTGGCGACTATGTCTGCACCACAGAGACTTCCAGCCAGGCAGGTCCATCACCGACAACATCATTGATGGGATATACAACAGCCGCAAGACCATCTGCTTGATCACCCGCAACTATTTAAGGAGCAACTGGTGTTCCCAAGAGATTCAGGTGGCCATATTCAGGCATTTTGATGAAAGGAAAGATGTCTTGATTCTCATTTTTCTAGAGGATATTCCCACTCATCACCTCTCTCCATATTATAAAATGAAAAAGCTGGTGAAACAACAGACGTATCTCCGTTGGCCCAAAGCAGGAGACGACACCAGAGTGTTCTGGCAGAAAGTGAAAATGGCTATGGAGACCAAATAGACTGAAGATGAAGAGAGACACGATCTCTCATGGCATGATAATGGACGTTAAATAGAGACAGCATTAGTGTGCTCTGTGCACATTAAGTTTAATGTGTATGCTTTCATATTCTTGGATTTGTGTAAGATGTGTAAAATCATCATGCATATACCAAATAGTACAAAACTCTTAGACACCTAAGCAAATTGGTTGAAACCATTTATCTCAGCAGTAAATGTGTTTTTTTGCCAGTAAAAACAATAAAATGAATACAAATAAGCATAAATACATTAAAAAGGAGGAGCTTTGGAAATGATTAAGCAAACACATTGACATACAATCAAATCTACTTTAGATTTACTTTACTAATATTAGTGTTTTCCTGAACAAATAAACATTTACCACCCAGCATTTTCATCTATAATTTTACTGGGTGCCTAAGACTGTAGTATACTGTCTACAGTACTGTATATTTCATATCGCTGCTGTCAGAAGAAAACCTTGTATCTCCATTTTTGTTGTTTTTCAGTTTTCGACATAATTTGAATATACCCATTGCCCTTCACATTGTGTGTAAATTTCATGAAGAACGGACCAAAAGAAATGGCCCAAAATGACTTGGACAAAAATTCTGGTTCCACTGACTTACATTAAAAGCAAAGTAGGTTTTTTCCTTTTCCTGTCAAGTTACCACTTTGGAGATACAAGGTTTTCTTCTGACACCAGTGATATACAATGCTAAATAATGATTTACGTATTTAGGACTATTGATAGATGTAAATAAATGTGTAAAATTATAATTATAAAC